CACCCCTGCCTGCTGTTCTGTGGTCAGTGCTGTGGCCTGTGTATGGTCTTTCTGTGGTGCGAAGTTGACCTACCTGGTTCTGATTTTTTCATGTGCTGTAGCCAGCAACCTTACATTCTAGGATGGTAAGGGGGCTGAGCCTATTGGAAAATCAGAGTTCTGTTCCAAGAAACAGGATGGGAGCTGGTAGTCTGCTCCATTGGGATAGAGTTCAGACCTTGGGTTAGAGCCTGAGGCAAAGGGAGAGGACATCAGAGGATGGTATGGGTGAGGCTGTGGTCCAAGAGTCTGTGATGATTGTGTTGTACCTATAAGCTCTGGGAGTTTAATGCCACGGGCCTCAGTAGAACCACATTTTCATATTCCCACCTGTTTTCTGGGTATAGGAGCCTGTGAGGTTTTAAAATCTTAATCTTTCTTATGTTCAGGCACTGATTAACCGTGGAGTTAACCTGGACCCCCTGGGCAAGTGGTCAAAGACTGGACTGGTGGTGTATGATTCTTCCGTGCCCATTGGTAAGTGTTCTCTGTCAGGTGGCCTTTCTGCCCCTGCCCTTGCCCCAGCATGTCACAGATGGGTTGTCCTCCACAGGTGCTACCCCCGAGTACCTCGCTGGGCACTATATGCTTCAGGGAGCCTCCAGTATGCTGCCAGTCATGGCCTTAGCGCCCCAGGAGCACGAGCGGATTCTGGACATGTGTTGTGCCCCTGGAGGAAAGACCAGCTACATAGGTATGAGGTGGGCAGGCAGGGGTAGGAGCCATCTGGCTCTCTGCTTCTGGAAGTAAATGGTGTCGCTGACTCTCTAGTGTTTAGGAAAACAGTGCAGAGCAGCTCAGAGTGGTGAGGAATGCAGGCTGTGGAGTCAGCCTGGGTTTCAGCCCCATGTGCCACCAACTGTCCATATGGCCTCGGACAAGCCCTTGATCTTACTATCTGTAAAATGGGATAGCAGCTGTGCTTCAAAGAAGTCAGTAAGTCTGTGGGACCAAAAAGATGCTCAGTAACAATAAAAAACCCCACCAGCAGGCCTGCTCATCAGTGGGTACACGTCGATAGACCTGTACAGTAGACAGTGGGGAGGCAGCTTATTGGGAGTGAAGTGGCCTCGAAGAGGTGAGAATTCAGTTGTGGGTTCTTGGGCTGGAAGGTGGCTGGCAGGCGTGAGGCAGAGGAGCTGGCTGGTGAGCTCTGTGCCCCTCTCCCTTCAGCCCAGCTGATGAAGAACACAGGTGTGATTCTTGCCAATGATGCCAATGCCGAGCGGCTCAAGAGTGTCGTGGGTAATCTGCACCGGTTGGGAGTCACCAACACCATCATCAGCCACTACGACGGGCGCCAGTTTCCCAAGGTGTGGCCCCCCACCCCCTGCTTCCTGACCTCGCAGTGTTTAGACTCCCCCCTAGGAAGTAATGGTGTGGTGCAGATTGCCAGAGACACCTAATCAACCTACCCTTTTCCCCCAGGTGGTGGGGGGCTTTGACCGAGTCCTTTTGGATGCTCCCTGTAGTGGCACTGGGGTCATCTCCAAAGACCCAGCTGTGAAGACTAACAAGGTGAGGAGTTGGGAGGTGGGGCCCAGAGTGGGGGTGGGGACAGCTGAGAGGTCTGCTGGGCCTTCCGGAGCTGGAAGGGGAGGTGGAGGAGCACGCCGAGCAGTTAATAGCTCACCTCTTCTCCTGAGGCTGTCTTTTTGAAATCTTGACACCCTTGCATCGGTCTCTCCTTGGGACAGGATGAGAAGGACATCTTGCGCTGTGCTCACCTTCAGAAGGAGTTGCTCTTGAGTGCCATTGACTCTGTCAATGCCACGTCCAAGACGGGAGGCTACTTGGTCTACTGCACCTGCTCCATCATGGTGAGGCCTCTGTTGTGGCGAAGCTGAGGGGACGGGGCTAGGGGGGTGTTTGCCCCTTAGAGCTCCCTTCAGCTCTGCTTTTCCTTCTCTTTCTGCCTCCCCCACGTACTCAGGTGGAAGAGAATGAGTGGGTAGTAGACTATGCCCTGAAAAAGAGGAACGTGCGGTTGGTGCCCACGGGTCTAGACTTTGGCCAGGAGGGTTTTACTCGCTTTCGAGAAAGGCGCTTCCACCCCACCCTGCGTTCTACCCGCCGCTTCTACCCTCACACCCACAACATGGATGGTTTCTTCATTGCTAAGTTCAAGAAATTCTCTAATTCTGTCCCCCAATCCCAAACAGGTAAGTGATCTGCTCTTTCTGCCCTTCATCACCACCTTTGCCCTTTCTACCTTTCAGGAGGCATATGACTGCAGGGAAGGGAGGGACTTGCGCCTCGCTTATCCCACCTTTGCATGCTTGGATGAGAGGCTTCTTTCATCCCGATTAGAATCGTTCCTGAGCCTGGACCCCATTTGAGTATATGTGAAAGTACTTGTGCAGATGGGGACCTTTTGCTTGATTCTGCCAAGTGGCTGCAGTCTTTCAGCACTAAATGCATTCCCAATGCAGTTGTGGTTTGTTTTTCCTGCTTGGCCGAGGGCTGCCTTCCTGGTAACAGACCTCTGCTGGTCCAGCATTGTCAGGGTTGGCACAAGACTCCTTAGAACCATCAGCAGTTCTCTGAGCCCATCACACTAATTGCAAATCTTTTTCTCAGCCATCTTGAGTCTGGCCTGGATCTCAGGAAGGGTGGGGTTTTCTGGAACAGGCTTGGTGGTTCTGCATGCTGGGATAGAACCCTAAGTTTAGTTGGAAAAGGGAGAGGCAAGTTTCTCTGAATACATACTGTGACTTACTGAGTTGATTTCTTTTTTTTTTAAGTTTATTCAAGTCATCTCTCCCAGTGTGGGGCTTGAATTCATGACCTTGAGTTCAAGAGTCACATGCTCTCCAGACTGAGCCAGTCTGACACCCTGATATTCTTTTCTTTATAAATAATGTTCCTCACTAGAGTCAAATCTGAATGTTAAGAGAAACCTTAAGAAATGGCAAAATTTGCTATAACTTCTTTTTTCCACCGTAACTTTAAAAGTACGTATTTAATGTCCTTTCTCATTTGTGCCTTCCTAGCCTGTTTTTGGTTGCTTTGTGTGACTTCTTATTTTCTTGCATCTCATCGAAATCCACGCGAAAAACAAAAAAATTCTGTCTTTTTTTTTTTTTTTTAAGATTTTATTTATTTATTTGACAGAGATCACAAGTAGGCAGAGAGGCAGGCGGAGAGAGGGGGAAGCAGGCTCTCTGCTGAGCAGAGAGCCAGATGTGGGGCTCGATCCCAGGACCCTGAGATCATGACCTGAGCCGAAGGCAGAGGCTTTAACCCATTGAACCACCCAGGCACCCCAAAAATCCTGTCTTTAATTTAAAAAGACAAAGCCCAGCACTTCACGTTTATTCAGGATTTACCTCCTGAGTCTCCTGTGACCTGCTGTCCTTAAGGGGACACAGCTTCCTCTGGAAACCTTGCCCAAGGTTGAATAATGATCTCTTCTTCTTTCTCTCTCTCTTTTTTTTAATCCCTTTCTCTTTATTATGAGGTTCAAATGTGACTTGAATAAAGGCCAGGTGATACCAAGTAATTGGAATCTAGGTGGTCTGCTTTGAGGTGCTATCCCGCCTACAAGGGCGTCCTTGGCTGACAGTAGTCAGGCAGTTTCCTTATCTTAGACTGCAGCTTACTTCTTCCACTAATGATCAAATCCCAGTGATGACGCCCATTTTCTTAAACCACATGTTTAATTTTAACCCAGGGAATTCTGGAGATCCCACCCCTGCAAACCTAGACTTGCCTAAGGTGAAAGGTCAGGTGACCCCCAAGCCTGAGGGCAGCAGCCAGCCTGCCAAGAAGGCAAGAGTGGCTTTGAACACAAAGCAGCAGTTGCAGAAACGGAAACATCCCAAGAAGGCCTCTTTCCAGAAGCAGAATGGCATCTCCAAAGGTACAGACTCAGGATTGTCCACTGTATCTTGTGACACAAAGTTCCAAGCTCCTTCCAAGGTCCAGGACAGTAGTCAGCCAGCTCCAGAAGCTGAAGTGATGAAGGGACCAAAGGTGACTAAGAAACTAAAGCAAAAGTCAGCTACCCTGCTGTCCTCCAAGAAAGTTGCCTTCTGGAAGCAGAATGGTCCTCTTAAGGGCACCAACAACAAAGTGCCTGTGCTATCCCTTTCCAAGACCCAGGCCACTGTCAAGCCTAAGGACTGTGATCCGCCCCTTCGAAACACCAAAGGGGCTGAGAAGGTAAAGCAGCAGTTGCCTTCCAAGAGAGCTGCCTTCCAGAAACAGAATGGCACCCCCAAGGGACCTGAGACTTCCACCATGTCCCTCCTTGGTTCCAGCCGGCCCCCACCAGCAAAGAGGAGGAAATCTCAGTCCAGAGACAGCAGTCGTCCAGTGTTGTCTTAGATGAATGGTTGAAACTAGACTGGGATGGCTCACTGCTGTTGGCACTGGGTTGGAACTTTTTACCTCTGTGAGGTTGGCATCTCCATTGTGCATATGAAATCTAATACACGTTTTATAATCTCTGGTCACTGTGTGTTTTTTGAGGGGACTGGATTCTCGCTTTGCTGCTTTAAAGGTAGTGGTGGGAGGGTGGGATAGGGCCCCCTCTGAAGAGAGGAAACAATGTGGTATCCTGAGAAATCCATTTCAGGCTCCTGGGCTCCCTTGGTCTCCTCAGGGTCCCAGGGCCGGAGAGTCCTGGAGAGTCCTGGAGTCGGAGCTTAGCGTGTTTGGACTCTGGGGACCACAGGAGGGCAGTAGCGGTGTAGGGAGGATGGGCATCCTGCCACCAGAACCCATGGAATACTGAAGGACCTGGATTTTATTTCTGTCACCCTGGCTTGGGGGTCATGGACCGGGTCCGCTCAGCCTCAGACCCGGAAAGGTCCAGGTACCGGCCTCCAACTGAACCTTTAATTGGCTTCCTCTCTGCCCTGCCCCGCCCCCTGACCTCTGCCCCTTCCGTCGGGCCGTCTGATTGGTTACCCCCGCGTCACCCTGGCGCCTTATTGGCTCTTCTCCCTCGCCCTCCATCCCTGCTTCTGTAGCGGTCTCTGTCTCCCAGCAGAAGACGCAGCCATGAATCCGTTATTCGGCCCCAACCTCTTCCTCCTACAGCAGGAGCAGCAGGGCCTGGCCGGGCCGCTGGGGGACCCTCTGGGAGGCGACCACTTCGCCGGGGGAGGGGACGTGTCCCCAGCGCCGCTCGCCCCGCCCGGCCCGGCTGCCTACTCGCCGCCCGGCCCGGGCCCGGCGCCCCCCGCCGCCATGGCTCTCCGCAACGACCTGGGCTCCAACATCAACGTGCTCAAGACCCTGAACCTCCGGTTCCGCTGCTTCCTGGCCAAGGTGCACGAGCTGGAGCGCCGCAACCGGCTGCTGGAGAAGCAGCTGCAGCAGGCGCTGGAGGAGGGTAAGCAGGGCCGGCGGGGCCTGGCTCGCCGCGACCAGGCCGTGCAGACCGGCTTCGTCAGCCCCATCCGGCCCCTGGGGCTGCCCCTGAGCGCCCGGCCCGCTGCCGTCTGCACCCCTTCGGCGCGGGTGCTGGGGTCGCCCGCGCGCTCGCCAGCCGGCCCCCTCGTGCCCTCCGCGGCCTGCCACTCGTCGCCCTCCACCTCTACCTCCACCTCCTACTCCTCGTCTGCCCGCTTCATGCCCGGCACCATCTGGTCCTTCTCTCACGCCCGCCGGCTGGGGCCGGGACTGGAGCCCACGCTGGTGCAAGGGCCTGGCCTGTCGTGGGTGCATCCCGACGGGGTGGGCGTCCAGATCGACACCATCACCCCCGAGATCCGCGCGCTCTACAACGTCCTGGCTAAAGTGAAGCGCGAGCGGGACGAGTACAAGCGGAGGTAGGGGACCGGGAAGGTGGGGACGGGGCTCAGTGTCATGGGGCCGGGACGGGCCCCAGCACACATGGGGCCGGGACCAGGTGTGGGTCCGGGAGAGGAGATAGGGAGGAGTAAGATGAGAGTAAAGTTCTTGCTGTGTTAGGAGGAGCTTGGAAGTAGACAGACAGCATTGGGTACAGGAAGTCCAGAATCCACAGGGAATGCAGAAGTCGCACTGGTGACCGGAAGAAGGATCCTCAGAGCCGAGTACTGTGGGGTGTACATATTTTTCTTGTGGCTTTTCTGTCTCATCTAGACTGAAGTGTTTGGATGACAGTGTTCACTGTGGGGTTGTGTGCCGTGTGAAAGGGACTCGTGTCTACCTCTGGGTAGACATCTGGGGTACTACTTAGCCTCTCCAGGCTCAGCCCTCAGAGCAGTTTTGTGATAGATGCCGCATATGGATCAAAAGTAAGAGATCAGGATATAGCTTTCACTTGGGAGTCTAAGTGAAATTAGAAGGGGGTGGGGGAGCTGCATCTCCCAGTGGGCGATCCTGCTGCTGCTCTGGGTTTCCCAAGGTGATGCTGATGGAAACTGGGTGCCTACTCCAGTTCCACAGGAAGGGCTCTGGGACCTCGGAACATTGCTTGGAGTAAGTCAGAAAAAGAAAAGTAAAGAGATAAGGGGGAAGGGAATTCCCTAGGGAAAGGGGAAGGGACTGCTGGTCATCGTAGGGCTTGTGGAAGCTGCGGGGTGGGGGGGGGGACGGGAATCTGTGAAAGTGCAAGGAGCCAAAGGATGACGAAATGTAAGCGAAGCCAGCAGAGGAACCGAGTGTGTGGAAAAGTTGAGAATCTGGACACACCCTGTGAGTATAAGGCAGCGGGGGTCAGGCCCAGTGCTGACCCAGGATGAGGATTTGGCCTTCTTCGGGGGACTGGTAGGGCAGCCAGGTCCCAGGAGAAGGGACGTGATGCTGGCACTGGCTGTATATCCTTAGAGGCCTGAGAACCCGGGCCATTAGGAAGAAGCACGAGCACAGCCAGCCCTTTGCCACGGATGCTGTGGTTGAGGAGGAAGATGACGGGTCTGGAGGAGGCTTTATTTTGGAGCCATCAGGTTTAACCTCTTCATTGACTACTCTGACCCCTTGTGGGCAGGCTTGGGAACTACCCAGGCAGCCATGTGTGGCAGATACTAGTGTGTCAGCTGGGGCTTGGCTGAAGGTTCCTGGAGCTTACCCCTGGGTCTGGGGGCAGCCTTCAGGCAGCTGTAACCAGCCAGAGTCTAGCAGATTGCAGATCAGCAGACTTTCTGATGCTGAGTCTTGTCTTCATGCTGGCTTCCTTCATCGTACGTAGCCCATGTTATAAGTGCCTTTGGGAGTCTCAGTTCTAAAGGCATCATTCACATGCCCCCCAGAACCAACCTGCCCCAGTCCCTGCCCCAGCCCCTGTCCCTGCAGGAGGTAATTAACAACAGTCAGTGGCCGAACACGGACAGTTCTGGAATGCCTAACCATTGAAACAGCTGCTGTTCTCGGGTATTTGTTTTTCCTTAACTGAAAGGGTGTTTGTCCTTGGTCCAGCTGTCCAGGGCAGCAGAGAGTTATTCCTTGGGGACTGATGAGCTCATCGCTCTGCAGCACGCTGCTGTGCAGAGGGCCCCGCAGCTAGAGGTGTGTGGTACGTGACACTGGCGGTTCCTCATTCTTCCACCCCAGATCCTGTGCCCTCGTTCTGTTCCCTTGAAAACACCGGAGCTCCTGTCCGTGGCCCGGAAGGCATGGGTATAGCCTGAGCACCGAACTGGGAAGGAGCTGAGGCTTTCTGGGTTCTGTTCTCAGCTCCCCTGCTGTGTGCCACCTTGGGTGGACCTCTTCATCCTTCATCCTGGCCTCTGGTTTCCAGTGTGGGAATGGCCCCTGCTTCCTCACTTTGCTCGAGGGTACCGTTTATTTGGGAGGGAGGTCTTCATTGAAGGTAGAACACATGGAAATTGCCCAAATTCTACCCCTGTCAAGGGAACCTTGGAAGTGAGACCAGATTGGAATGGAGGTCAGAAGGAACCTGTTTGTGGTAAAGTATGGCTGGAGAACAAAAGAGTTCTAGTAAGCTTCCAGGGGCGCCGGGCTGCCTCAGTCAGGAGAGCATGTGACTTTTGATCTCAGGGTTGTGAGTTCGAGTCCCACGTTGGGTGTAGAGATTACTAAAAATAAATAAATAAACCTTAAAGAATTCTAGTAAGCTTCCAGGCAATTTATTTTCAGTTTTTTTTTAAAACTCTGTAATGTTTTGTTCATCTCAATCCTCCCCTAACTTCCTTACTTAAACTTCTACTGGAATTTGCTGCTTTCTGCCCTTCCCGATGCATCTTGCCCAGGGTCACTGTCCCCTTGCCAGGCTTGCTTCCTCCGGGGGCTTATGGACTCAGGGTATGATGGCACCGCATCCCATGGCTTCAGGTTGTCAATGAAGAAACCACAGGCCCAGGAGAGATAAATATGTCTGAACTCTGAAACTATTTTACTTGATGATTCTGGGACCCCTCACCGGCCCCGACCGTCAGAGGGAGAATACCAGAGCAAAAGGAGGAAGGATGTGGGGGCAGCAGGGAGGGGGGTGGGGAGCAGAGAGTCAAGAGGCTGAGAAGCTGGGCTGCATGGCAGGCTGGCCGGGTAGTGGCCCAACCGGCTGCCTCTCCCCTGCCCAGGCGGGAGGGGCAGTGGGTGACGTTGGGGAGTTATTATTAGGAACACTGCAGTGCAGAGCCCAGTGAGGAGCAGGAAGGCTTGGAGGGAAGAGGCTGTGGGCAGAGCCCAGCGGGGAGAAGAGGGCGAGGTTGGGGAGAGATGGAGGTGGGGCAGGGAGGATAGAGTCCCACGTCTGCAGAATCTGCTCCGTCAGGCTTTCATTTTCTTGCCGTCCTCTCTGTGGCTTCTGGCCACCTTTCTGATCCCGCAGTGTCTCTCATGGTACCGTGCCCTCCTTTCTGAGCCTTGAAGAAGTGGCAGGAGGTGATAGGCTGTCTGAGTGGGGTCTGAGAAGTTCTGCCAGCCCAGGCACCCTCGCAGAGTCTTGAGTCCTCCTGCAGCGTTCCGCTCCAGCACGGCCTTTCCGCCTCTGCTGCACCATGACCCGTGCACTGGCTTGCTGTGGACTCCCGTCTAGTGGAAGCCCTGGCCCTGCATAGCAGGGGAGTAGTCAGGGGGTCCTCTTAGCTGCTTGTGCTCCTAGTTTCAGAATCCTGGAGCGTAGGGGATGCCGCTGCTAGTTCCCACCCAGCGGATGAATGAGGCTCTTTTTCCTACTCTGATTGCCCTCGCCCTCGGTGTTTGGGTGCCTGGGACCCCGCTGGCTCCTGCTTTCCACTGCTTTCATGGTTCAGGGCCAGGCCCGACTCCTCTCCAGGGCTTCCGTGCAGGGGCTCCGGGTTGGTGAGGGGGGCAGTTTCTGGACCTTTGCCGGGGGACAGACTTTGAGTGTCTCCTACCAGGCTCTTGACCAGCCTTGTTGCTGTGGCGTGTGTCCTGCAGCTGCTTCTCCACAGTGAAATAGCACCACAAGCGGCAGGGCAGCAGGCTAGAGGAGCCCTGGGCTGGAGCGGGCAGGAGGCGGGAGACCGGATCTGGGCCCCCAAAGGTGGGGGACTGGGCCGGCAGGCCTGGGGGTGTGAGAGGGGAGAAGGCCAGCCGGGCAGCTGGCTGAGCCAGGGCCTGAGTGGGACAGGCGCTGTGGTTGCTCTTAAGTACGGCTCCTGGGGCACGGCCCGGAGGTTCTGGGAAGACAGCTGGAGTGCCAGGAAGCGTGGAGCCACCCGACAGCTGCAGCTGGCCACCTGCGGGCCAGCCGGCTGGTCCTGCCTACCGCTCCTGTACACCGAGGGCAGCAGAGCTAGAGAGAGAGAGCCCTGAGTGGTGGGGGGCGTGGGGGCTCAGGGAGCCGCAGGGGCAGGGCAGGGCAGGACCCCACACCTAGGCTCCCTCCCTGTCCCCCATGTCTGCCAGGTGGGAAGAGGAGTACACTGTGCGGGTACAGCTGCAGGAGCGAGTGAACGAGCTCCAGGAGGTGAGGGCTTGCCCCTGCCGTCCCTGCCGTGTCCCTCACCCTGTCACTGGCCCCCCCGCCCAGTCCTCTCCAGGCCCTTCCGTGTCCTTACCTGCACCCCGCATGGGCGGCATGGCTCGCTCATGGGGCTTTCTCCCAAACTGCAGGAAGCCCAGGAGGCTGACGCCTGCCAGGAGGAGCTGGCCATGAAGGTGGAGCAGCTGAAGGCTGAGCTCGTGGTCTTCAAGGGGCTCATGAGCAACGTGAGTGTGGCCCCCTTGCGCCTGGCCCTGCAGAGCAGGCCTTTCTGGTCTGGGCCTGTGGCTCTCCTGGCCACAGCCTTCACCCACCATGCCGCGCTGCCCACCCCCCTCCCCATACCTGTTCAAGAGGAAAGGCAGGAACCGAAGCTTCGGTGTTGGTGTCCTATGCAGGGGGCAGTATGGCCTCTGTCATTCCTGGAGGCCCTAAGCTGTGGTTAAGGACCCAAATCCCCACTCTGCCACCAGCCTGCAGGGGGGCTTTCTGCATTCCGTCACTGCTCTGTTCTGTCCCCCTCCTCTGCGGAATGGGGTCATAAGGGCATATACCTTGCAGGGCTAGTCCAGAGATGAGAATGCATTTAGGGGCGTGCTGGCCCTGACTTCGTGCTGAATAAGTGGTAGCCATTCTTCTTCGTGCACTACTTCCTCCACTCTCGAGCTCCCAGTGGGCTCTCTCTCTGAGATCATAAGTTCCGGGGGGAGCCCCTGCAGGTTCCGGGCCATGCACTCCAGGGCTCCCCCTCTGACCAGGGGGCCCGTGGCCTGAGCAGCGTGGGAATGCTGTGGGGAGGGCGTCCAGGAAGAGTGACACACAGCAGCCGTGTGTGACCTGAAGGCTGAGGCTCTCACTGGGCCTTGTCTTACCGCGCCCCGCGTTCCCTGGGCAGAACCTGTCTGAGCTGGACACAAAGATCCAGGAAAAGGCCATGAAGGTAGATATGGACATCTGTCGCCGCATCGACATCACCGCCAAACTGTGCGACGTGGCTCAGCAGCGCAACTGCGAGGACATGATCAAGATGTTTCAGGTGAGGGGGCAGGGCTGCTCGCAGGCCCCCGGCCCCTGCCGCACCTGCCCGGTGCCTCAGCTCCTCACTAGAGGGGTACCGGCCCAGAGCCCCCTTGCCCCCGCCCCCTGGGTCAGCGCCGGCCCCTCCTTCTTGGGGGCCTCACCCTGGCACCGGGGCCCCTCAGTGGGACTAGGCTGGGGGGCAAGGAACAGCCTCTGAAGAGAAGGTTCGGAAGCCGTCTCTAACACCGTCTCTCCCCTCCCCCTCTCTCTCCTCTGTCCGCCTCCTCTCCTCTCTTCCTTTCATCTTCTCTTGCTTTCTCCACAGAAGAAGCTGGTTAGTTTTGCTCTCATGCAAGCTTTTTAATGTCCCAGTCCCAGTTTCTAAGTCACCTACCTAGGCCTTTGGCCTTCAGTTTTGACCCGCTGGGCTTTTGGGCCCAGATTTTTACTCCTGTCTCCGTTCTCCTTGCTCTTCCCCATTTGCTTCATTTCTTTCTGCCCCTTCTCTGACTTTCCAGATCTGGATGAGTGATTCAGGCTTTCCTTTGTATACACCTCCTCCTTGCAGCCCAAAATTTCCTTTCAGTTTGGTCATTTCATTAGAAAGGACGTTTTTTTCTTTTTTCTTTTTTTTAAGAAAATAAATCCTCTGTAGCCATTTTGCACATCTGATGTGGTTGCCCCGGGCCATTTCTCTCCTGATCTTACTGCCCTATTTTCTCTGTTTCTCCTTTTTCTTCCTTCTCAGTCTGCAGCCCTGCCCCCATCTGTGTGTGTCTGCCTGTCTCTCGGTAACTCCGGTGTCTGTTCCTGTCGTTGTAACTGTGTCTTCTCTCTCTGTCCACCCTGCCCTCCCGCTGGTTCACGCTTCTCCCTCCCCCCCCCCCCCCCCCACCACCACCGGCGCCCACCTGCCCACCTGCCCTTCTCCTCACGCACCCGGCCTCGTCTCTGTAGTCTCTGCACTTGTCTCCCATTAAGGTCCCATCCATGGGGGGGCGGAAGCGGGAGCGCAAGGCTGCCATCGAGGAGGACACCTCCCTGTCGGAGAGTGACGGGCCCCGCCAGCCCGATGGGGATGAGGAGGAGAGCACAGCCCTCAGCATCAACGAGGAGATGCAGCGCATGCTCAGCCAGCTGTGAGTCCCGAGTCCCACAGGCCCGTCCCTCAGCGGCACCCCTGCCCCGAGGCCGGAGGCACCCCCCGCCCCCGCCCTGCCCAACGCCCCGACAGCGGCCTGCTGCTGCCCAAAAATAAGCCCCTGCCCTCCTTGACGGCGGGCTCCCTGTCTCTAGGAGGGAGTATGATTTTGAGGACGACTGTGACAGCCTGACTTGGGAGGAGACTGAGGAGACCCTGCTGCTTTGGGAGGATTTCTCAGGTTATGCCATGGCAGCCGCAGAGGCACAGGGAGAGGTAACGGCCCCTCCCAGCCTCAGGGCCCCTGCCAGTCCTGCCCAGACCCCCAGCTGGCCGCCTGTCCCCTCCCTCCCCTCTGCTCCCTGCACTCCTTGCTGCTTTCCCTCTGTGGCCTTCATCCTCTGCCTGCTTCTCCCCTCGTCCTTTTTCCTTTCTCTGGGCTGTCTCCAGCTTCCTTTAACAGGACTCTCTCTCTTCCCCACCTTGGCCCTGTGCGATGCCCCCATCCCACCCTCCCCACTGGCCACCCCACCCTTGCTTTCCTTTTTGCTCCAGCAGCAGGAGGACAGTTTGGAGAAGGTGATTAAAGATACGGAGTCCCTGTTCAAAACCCGGGAGAAGGAATATCAGGAAACCATTGACCAGATAGAGGTAAGGCTGAGGTGTCTGAAGCCTCGACCAGGGGTTAGGGGGACCCCACTTTCTCTTTTGGGGGTGGGGCCTTAAGACCTTGCTCTGCGCTGGGGGGCGGCAGGCAGATGTGTGTTCCGGTCTCAGCCCTGTCACTTGCAACTGCTCATGGGCTGCTTGCACCCTCTGAGCCTGTTTCTTCATTTGTCGGGTAAGCTCTCCATCCTACCTGCTCACAGGCTTGTCTGAAGATCAGAGGAAGTGAGGCCCGCGCAGAGCTGAGAGCAGGGGCTGTCAGCCTGGGAGGCTTCCTGCCCGGCGCGGTAGTGCTTATTAGTTCTCCTACTGTTGGGGCCATAGCAGAGGCCACTGAGTGGACTCGAACTCTGCTGTTTCTTCAGCTCAGCCCTTCAGCTGACGGAGGAACCTCTGTCCTCCTCTGTCCTCCTCCTCGGGAAGGTTCCTCCAGGCTAGGGAAGGGAAGCTAGGGCTCTAAGCTGGAGCTAGGTCTGCAGGCCCGAGGGCGGCTTTGTGGCAGCTGCAGGGCAGGGTGGGGGCGGGGGTGGGGGTGTGGGCAGGACGTTGTTCTCGGCAGCCTCCCGCTCCTGGAGAGGGCCCTTCCTGGAGCCCTGAGTGCCCCTGGCGTGGGGAAGAGGCCCCTGGGCTTCTGGAACTCTTGGCCTCTCTTTAAGCCCCCGTGGCCTATTTGTGCCCTTGCTGCTCTCACACTGCCGGCATTTTAAGAAGCGACCGACAGGTGGTTTTCCGACTTGCGTGTTCTCCCAACACACATCACTCGGTCCTGCTCCTTGAAGCTGAACCTGCTTTTGTTTCTTGCACGGGTAGACGGGCTGAGTTTTAAAGGCCAGCAGCCAGGTGTCTGCTCCCCACGGAGGAGGGGGAGGGAAGAGCCACTTTCTGTCCACTCAGGACACCCATCTGGCAGGCTCCCTCTTGTCTTGCAGGAGGATGGCTTTAGGAGAGGTGTTGAGAGCTAACAGGGGACTTTGGGTATGCTGCTGGCCCTGGTGACTCATCCTGATAATTATCAGTGGTAAAGCCAGGGCCCAAGTGGAAGGTGGGAGGGAATTCCTGCCGTCCTGCCTCCTTCCAGTCCCTCGAGCCACATCCCTGCCCTGCCCTCCAGTCTCATAGCGAGGCTGGGGGTTTCCGTGGAGGCTCTTGGTTGCCTCCTGGCTTGTGGTGGCTCCCTTCCCTCACGTGTGAAGGGGACCCGTACACATGTGTAGAGGCAACTGGTGGCGGTCCTAGCCTTGTCTTTGGGTAGAATATACTTGCTTCATTTCTGTCTTTCTTGTCCTCACCGGTGACGGGCTCTGGCAGCTGGCCCCTTCCCCTCCCGCTCTCCTTAGCTGGAGAAGCTGGGGTGGTGGCAGTGGCCAGCCCTCACAAGAGCGGGTGAGTGACCTCTATTGTCTTCCTGACTGAGCAGTTGCATGACCCGCCCTCCCGGCCTTGCTCTGGAACCCTGGCTGTTGTGTGAGCTGTGCCCGCTAGGGCTCCTGCCCCACCCGGGCCACCATCTCTTCTGTCGGGCCCTGTGACCCCTTTACTTCTTTCTCTGAGTTCCCATCCTCTCCCTGTCCAGTTGGGATTAGTTCTGGGTGGTTTCCTCTTTCCACTTCGGATTATTCACGGGGAGTTTCCTACCCTTTATCTTTGCTCTGGGGCAGTCAAGCAGATCACCGCCCAGCAGTTTTAGCCCAGCAGTTTTATTCGGCCTCTCTGTTTGGCCCCCCGTCCTTTGTACCCAAAACAAAGAGAGGCCAAGATTGTCTCTGGCCCAGATCTTTCCCGCCTTCGCCCTGCCTCTCAGCCCTACCTTTGCCAGGGAGGCCATTTTTTCCTTGATCTCTGAGCCCACATTTTCACCATGGAACCTTTCTTGAATTGGGGTACATCTAACCAGTGGGGCGCTGGGTGTGGCCACAGTCTTTCTGTGAAATGCTGCGAATGGCTCACAGGAGAGACGAGAGCCCAGAGAGCTCTCTGAGGAGGATCGACCCTCTTTGAGCCACTCAGACAGGTCTCCTCCTTGGTGCCACAAGGCTTGTCATGAAGTTCTCTAAGTCACCCAGCGTGGTGCTGGGCCAGTGCAGGCAGAGATGAATAAGCCATGGCTGGCCTTCCAGAAGCACCCGAATGAATGAGGGAGACAGATGGGGTGCAGTGCTGCACAGGGCCACGCAGGAAGCCCAGGGAGGGAGCCAGGCTGCATGGACAGCCACCCCAGGCGGGCTCTCTGTCCTGCCCGCACTTTGGTTCCTGTTGTCAGGGAGGATCAGTTGCAAGAAGGCAGGCCCGTGGCAGAGACCTCTGCCTTCCTCTGCAGGCAAAGATGCCCAGGAAAGCTAGATGTAATGACAGTACAGTGGGTCCCCTCTGGCTGGGCAGACTGATTTTTAAATCTGAGGCCTTGCCCACGGGCGCCCGGGGCCCCCTCACCCCCCACCCCGCAGTGTTCTTGGCATGTTTGCTTCCCGGGGGTGCAGGCCGGGGCCCTGCTGACTTGCAGGGCCCTTCCCCTCCCCCGCCACAGCTGGAGCTGGCCACGGCCAAGAATGACATGAACCGGCACTTGCATGAGTACATGGAGATGTGCAGCATGAAGCGGGGGCTGGACGTGCAGATGGAGACCTGCCGCCGGCTCATCACGCAGTCGGGAGACCGGTGAGGACCGGCCCTGGAGGTGGGGGCCGGGCCCCCATGTCTTCCACCAGGGGCGCCCGTGCAGGGAGGGAATGCGGTGGGTTGGCCCTGAACAGCCTGAGGGTCAGTCCCATCTGGACGTGGGGCTCTTGGGCGGGGGCACCCTGCGTGTCCGGCCCTGTCCCTCAGGGTGTTCTGTCCCTCAGCAGTGGGGCGATGGGCGTGCGTCCGTTCATGGCTGGATGGCCCAGATCTCCTAGTACCACCAGCCTCGGGGGTTCCCTGGTCAGAAGCAGCTCAGAACTGCCGAGGAACAGAACCGGTGTGGTGGCGGATTTGTGTCTAAAGTCAGGGCCATAGTTTGTGCATTTGGCCCTGTGTACGTTCTGCCTCTACAAAGAAGTACATTTTAAGAAGTCCCCGAAATACTATAGATGGACATCAAGCTGGGGCAAGCTTTATGCAGTTGGCCTGTGCAGCTGGGCTCAGGCAACATCTCTCATACTGTGAAATGAGATCTTTTTTTTAGATGTTATTTATTTGAGAGAGAGAGAGAAAGCATGAGTTGGGGGAGGGCCAGCAGGAGAGGGAGAAGCAGACTCCCAGGACCCAGGGATCCTAACCTGAGCCAAGGTCAGATGCTTAAGTGACTGAGCCACCTAGGTGTGGCCCTGTGATCTGAGCTATTTCTGAACTCTGAGCCTCCCAGAGTCCCCAAGACAGGTGCAAGAGCTTTCCCTCCCCTTCCTCGCTTCCCTCACCCTGCCTCCACCCTCACATGCGTGGCCCACCTGTCCTCATCAGAGATGGTGTTCACCAGCCTGCCCAAGAATAAGGCCAAGGGAGAGAGGAATGCTACCCAGCCTCATCAGGATTCCTGCCTGCCCCAAGGTGACAGCTGGTGTTTTTTTCTAGAAAGTCTCCTGCTTTCACTGCGGTCCCGCTTAGCGACCCGCCGCCGCCAAGCGAGGCTGAGGACTCCGATCGTGATGTCTCATCTGATAGCTCCATGAGATAGGGACCTACCTCCAGCTCAGAGCCCTGGGGCCCCACCCTGCTGGGAACTCACCGAGGGGAGGGGTGGGGGTTTCACAGAGGGGAATATTATCCGTCCCACTGCACCAAGCCTCGCCCCTGGGGACTGGGGCACTCCTCCCTTGGGCTTCCTGCCTTTGACCTTGGCCTCCAGGGTTCTAAGGTGTCTGGAGCGAGGCTTAGCCAAGGCTTAGCTGGCCCGTCCCAGGCGACTCCCACCACAGCAGGGGCTCTCCTGCCTTCATGTGTGGGTGTCTGCTACTTTCTCATCTCTAAAATGCTGCCAGTGATTGTGGCCCCTTACTTTCTCTGAGTAAGGAACGTGATTGTCAGATCTTCCTTCCAGTTCTGTGGCCTCAAGCCCGTTTACGGTCTGATTCTGTACTGGTGCTAACTGGCCCAGGCACTGGTATGAAGTGGATGAGGCTGGCTGTTGCATGGCTTGTGGAACCCAGGCTGTGTGTGGGAGAGGGCCTCCCCTCCACCCTGCAGGTGGAAGGACAGAATGGGCAGGGCGCTCCCTCCTCCCTCCACCCTCCCAAGTGCTCAGGGCCTGTGGATGGCAGTGCCCTGGCTGCGACCCTTTCCCCAGGACAGTGCCTGCCTTCAGGGGTCTCAGTGCCCCCGCCCTGGGCTGGGTGGCTTCTGGAGCTGACTGGTGCAGCATCGTGGAGGGAGACAGAAGCCCTTGCTCGTTTCCCAGTCAGCACGGAGTGGCAGAAAGGTGAAGCTACATGTGCGTGTGTGTGTGTGTGAGCACGTGCGTGTGCACTCAGGGTCTCCGTCTCTTCGAGTATCAGCTGGCTGCCTCCCTGTCGGTCACACACTGAGAGCAACAGGCTGAGAAGCTGTCCCAGACTTGGAAAAGCTTGGGAGAAACTAGGGACACGCAAATGAGTTGTCAGCCTGACTGCCTGAATGGACATTGGAATGGAATCTTTAATAATAACCAAACTGGAGAGTATTTATTGAACACTTCTGTGTCCCTGTTTTAAGCACTTTCTGGTGGTAGGTACACAATCCCTTCTGGGAGCTGCACCCTGCTTTTCCTCCCCTAACACAAGCAGGTGAACAGAAGCCTGTGCTTCTGCCCCGAAGCCTCCCGTGCAGGACAGTACCAATCCCCTTCACACCCCCTCTTAAGTCCTAAAGGTGGAGGTTAACTTCATTTTCCTGATCATTGACTACACAGTGCTTATACAGCTGACCGAACAGAATCCTTCTAGAAGACCCGGAGGGGCTGGGCACCGGCCTATCATTTTACAGATGGGAATAACTAGGGCACATTAAAGCAAGTAACTTAGTCCAGACCTCATAGCTGGGAGGCAGAGTGGAGTTTGCCCCCTGGCAAACCCTCAGCTGTCCTCCACGTTACTAGGGCTCTGCCCCAGAGTGGCCTGGTAACCGATCAAGGCCATGAGACTTGCTAGTCCAATTCCAAAGCCCTTCCTGTGCCAAGGTTACCCTTCAGTTGGCTGTAAACAGAACAGCTTTCAGACAGAGGCACCAGATCATCTGGTGACAAAACAACTTGCCCTCTAAATCACATCCCAGTCATGTAGCACCTATGGGCGTTGGAGGGATACTGAGCCAAAGCCAAGACCAATGGCCTGTAGAAGTGAATGCAGTGCTTGTACCTTTGGGAGGGATGCTCCTGTTAGGCCTAAGACCTCCGGCAGAGTTCAAGCCTGGTTGGTGTGTGCTGGGCCTTCCCTGGGTACTATCAGCAAGATTGATTTCTTTTGGCACTCAGTCTAGCTCCCTTTATCCCAGACACTGGAAAAAGCTAAAACACCCAAGGAGTTGGCTGGATACAGTATACTTTATTGATGGTACATGACAAGGTAGGGCTCCCCAAGCCCCTCCCCTTCTTCAGGGGGTCTGGGATGGAAATAGTGGAGGTTGGGAGATTCTCAGTGTTTTGGGGGGTAAGTTAGGGCAGGGATTCCCCAGCAGCTGAGGGCCTCTCTCCTCCTCTTGCTCTGGCTGGGGCTGGTGGTTCAGGGGGCTCTTACTCCTTGGAGGCCATGTGGACCATAAGGTCCACCACCCGGTTGCTGTAGCCAAATTCATTGTCATACCTGGAAGATCAAGGAGTGAAAGGCTATTTCCCCACACTGGGCACCAGAGGGCCCCAGACTCTAGTCACTTTCCTAGGTGTTGCTCCAAACCACGCCCCCACCCCCACATACCAGGAAATGAGCTTGACAAAGTGGTCATTGAGAGCAATGCCAGCCCCAGCATCGAAGGTAGAGGAGTGGGTGTCACTGTTGAAGTCGCAGGAGACAACCTGGTCCTCAGTGTACCCCAGGATGCCCTTAAGAGGGCCCTCTGATGCCTGCTTCACCACCTTCTTGATGTCATCGTATTTGGCCTAACAAGGTAAAAATGAGATGGTTATCCAAGTTCCAATCTTGCTATTCTCCTCCCCCACCACCCCCAATCCCTACCCTGCCACCTCTTCCAACCCACACTTACAGCTTTCTCCAGGCGGCAGGTCAGATCCACAACAGACACGTTGGGGGTGGGGACACGGAAGGCCATGCCAGTGAGCTTCCTACAGACAAGGGGAAACTGGCTCAGCACTATTCCTCTGCCTCCCCCTCCCCGCAACCAAGTCCCTAGGGTAGAAAAGCAGCAAGGCACCTTACCCATTCAGCTCAGGGATGACCTTGCCTACAGCCTTGGCCGCACCAGTGGAAGCTGGGATGATGTTCTGGGCAGCCCCTCGGCCGTCACGCCACAGCTTCCCAGAGGGGCCGTCCACAGTCTTCTGGGTGGCAGTGATGGCATGGACGGTGGTCTGGAAATGGGGGGGGGGGGAAGGAGTGAGGGCCTACACAGTACTCATGTCACCCACCCTTGGGAAGAAATTAAGGGACAGAGTCACCTGACCTTGAAACCCCTGTAGCTCCCCCATCCCAGGACCATGTTCTAAGCAGAATTATGCAGTCCAGGAAGAGAAGTCAATGGGCGTGGGGCACTTTCCCCATCATTCATACCATGAGTCCCTCCACAATGCCGAAGTTGTCATGGATGACCTTGGCCAGAGGAGCCAAGCAGTTGGTGGTACAGGAAGCATTGCTGAAAAGAGGGAGGCAGGTAAAGGCCAAGCAGATCCATCCCGTGATACACGGTATTACCGGACCACTTCTCCACTCCTTTTCCCTCCGCCATACTCACCTGACAATCTTGAGGGAGTTGTCATACTTCTCATGGTTCACACCCATCACGAACATGGGGGCGTCAGCAGAAGGAGCGGAGATGATGACCCTCTTGGCCCCGCCCTTCAAGTGAGCCTGCAGTGAAGAAGTCCTTGTAACCCAGGCCCTCCTTTCCTGGTCTAAGCCCACAGTCCCCATTCTTCCCACTACACCTACACCAGAGCCCAGGGTCAACACCCTCCCACCTTTACTCTCCTTGGCACTCACCCCAGCCTTCTCCATGGTGGTGAAGACCCCAGTGGACTCCACAACATACTCAGCACCAGCATCGCCCCATTTGATGTTGGCGGGATCTCGCCTATAAATAAGACGACCCCAAATTTAGGGACATGAGGTACCATGTATCCAAGGTGGTCACCCCATCCTAGTACCTCCCTCAGAGCCAGTTTCCCGTTTCTCCTCCACACTTACTCCTGGAAGATGGAGATGGACTTCCCATTGATGACAAGCTTCCCGTTCTCAGCCTTGACTGTGCCGTGGAATTTACCGTGGGTAGAATCATACTGGAACATGTAGACCTGCAGGGAAGGAGGAGGGGGCAGTGAGGGGCTGTGCTTCAGTGGGGCTGTGCTTCAGTGGGGCTCTGCTCCCTTGTGCGGCTGCAGGGGCAGCACTCACCATGTAGTTGAGATCAATGAAAGGGTCATTGATGGCGACAATATCCACTTTACCAGAGTTAAAAGCAGCCCTGGTGACCAGGCGCCCAATACGGCCAAATCTGAGAAAAGACAAGGGGCAAGAAAAATGAGTGGGGCAGAAGAGAAAAGCCTCCTGGGCATGGAAACAGTCCGAGGCCAACTCCTCCCCTTCCAGGGGTGAGAAAATGGCACTTCCCTGCCGCTATTACTCCCAAGAAATCTAATTTTATCCTGCGCAATCCTGCCAGGACAGCATGGCGAGTAAGTGAAGCCTTCCCAAGAGGTGATTAGGTTCAAACACTTGCCCAACTCCCCATTGTCTACCAGTCCCACCAGGAGAAACAGAAGCTCAGGGCATGGTCTGGCCACTCGGCACTTATCACCCCCACTATCTGTGCCCTGACAAGGCTTGCACTGGTCTGGCCCAGATTCAGGAAACACCCTCTGCGCAGCAAAGACATGCACACTTAGCATCACCAAGCTCAAAGGGCAAGAGTAAAGGTCAGAAATTAACTGGACAAGGAAAGCCCATCCCTTCCTCCAAAAAGGAAAGAGGAGGGGAAAAAGGGTACTTCCCAACCCCCTAATCTCGGGAGTCTAGTTTGCTAACCTGTCTGTGCAAACCCTCTTCTAAAAATTAGGAGCAGAAGCAACAGATGTGTGTGTGTGGTGGTGGTGGGCGGTGAGAAGTAGGAGAGTAGAAGCCCAGGCCCCCAACTGCAGAAAGGTCAGGCAGCTATATTTAACCGTAGATTAAGAGTGGAGTGGGGATCTGATTTCTGGAAGACTGAATAGGGAGAAGGGCAGGATTCCCAAGGCTCACCGACACCTAATCCTCCCAGTGACCTTTATAGCCTTGGCCTTTTAGGGCTGGGTCAGCTCTAGGCATGGAAGGAGGAAAAAAGCTTCGAAGAGAGCCAGTGAGATGTAAGGGGCTGCTGCCACAGGAGCCATTTTGTGGTGGAAAATTTCTATCTACCCATGACTCAGCTCCCCGGACATGGCACTAAGCTGCAGCTACCACACCTCTCCTGAGAAAGAAAGAAAAAAAATTAAGACAGGACTCCCCTGAACCCACGTTTCTGATTCATCAGAGGATCATCTAGGAAGAGCATCCCCGAGGGAAATTTGGTTGGCAGCTTAAGGGATGTGATCAGGTTCTGAAGTCAGGCTCTTTCGAGAGCGAGGCTGCGGGAAGCCTTGCCTCACCTGGCTTACGGGATAGAGGCGACTCCACCCCAGCGAGGCAGGCCTCGGAGGTTTAGTCATAGGCGAGGAAGGAGAACAGTGAGGAGCTACGGGAGGTTTCCTAACGGTGGTTCCTTCACTTCCTTCCCCGTTGCAACATGGCGGCAAGGTTACCGCAAACGAGCGCTCCTGGCGGGCTGCGCACCCAGCTGAGCGAGCCCCGGGAGCCCCGGACCGCGCGGGCGAGGTGGGGGGTGGGGAGAGAAGAGGCTGGTGGGGGAGGGGCGCCTCCCCGGCACGTGACCCCGCACGGCGCGAAAGCAAAGAAAGAAGCCCGGGCCGGAGGATTAGGGGATGGCTCTTAAGCCGGGATAGCGGCGGGCCGCTCGAATCCGCTGGGGTGGCATTGCAGGAGGCGCCACAGCCGGAGATGGGGTGGGGGCCACAAGGCCCTCTGGGCGGGAGCCTCCGCCAGGTCAGAGCGCCGACCTTGAGTTCTCCTTGGGGGGGGGGGTAGGACCACCGCACCCACGTCCTCCACCCGCTCGCCGGGGACCGCACCCTGCCCCATCCCCGAACTCACCCGTTCACTCCGACCTTCACCATCGTGTCTCGGGCACGCGGCTGCGGGGAGAGGAAGGCGAGCATTAGAGAGCCGGGGCGGGCGGGGGCTGCAGTCCGGCCGCTGCCCTCCCCTCCCCCCCCCCACCCGGCCTCCATTCCCACCCCGCGCCTGGGCACGTCCGTCCTCCCGCCCCTGCAATGCGGAGGTCCGGCCGGGCACGCCCGACCAGCGGCCGCGCAGCCCCTCTGGGTCCCCTCCGGGTCCGCGAGCGCCCCTGGCCCCCTTCGGAGCCGTGCCCCGGCCTCTCGAGGTCCCTCTGTCTGGCTTTGCCGAGGTTTACCTGGCACTGCACCTGAAGATGCGGCTGTCTGTCGAACGGGGAAGAGCAGAGAGCATCAGAGAAGACTGCAGTCCAAATTTATAGCGCCTGGGCGGGGCGTGGGGGCGCGGGCCCCGCCTCTCGCCGGCTTGCCCAGTCGGGGCCCAAGGGCGCGGAGGCCTGAGCTACGTGCGCCCGTAAAGCCGCGAGTAGCCGGGCCTGAAATTTTTGGACCCGTCTGCTTCTTCCAGTGTGCACGCACCAAGCGTGTGGGCTAGGGACGGAATGGGGGAGGGGACAGAGACCAGCTCAGTGGAGGAGGGGATTGCCAATGGCACTCGTGGGCATGCAGGAGACTGTGGACCCCAGGATCGGGCTCCTGGTGACAACGGAAGCCCTCCGGGAGCCAGAGCTGTTAAAGTTGCTTCACAGATGAAACGGGAGGGCTTTGGGAGCTGGTGGGATGGGGAATTGGAGCCGGAGCCGGGACCCCTCGCGGTTGTGCGCGGCCAACCCCCTCCCCTTTCTTTCGGAGGCTGAGGCGGGAAGGCTGAGGAACTTCTCCAGGCTCTTCGGTAGTGGCGGGGGAACCGCAGAGGAAAAGGCCCGGGAGGGGTCAGCCCGCCTCCTGCCGGGCTCTGCCCAGCCCCCACTTCCCCCGCCCGGGGCCCTGGCTCCCGGCCCCCTCGGGCCGGGGGCCTGGACTGGCCCTGGGCGGTGGGGTCCTGGAGAAGAACTAGGGCTCGGGAGGTGGCTGAGGAATGGGGGCGGTTTCTGCGCTGAAGGTCACGCTGTCCTGCAAGCTCGGGCTGCCGGGAGAGCTGATAATTGGGGCGGACAAACCAGGCCCTGTGTGCACCAGCTGCTCTCCCCGAGGCGGGGCTGGGCCGCAGGGGGAGGACGCGAGGCCGGAGGCCTCCCACAAAGTCGCTCCTGGGAGACCTGAGTGCTGTGCCGCCGGAGCCAGGAGACAGTGCCCCTTTCACCGCTTCTAGCCCAGGCCGGAGAGCGGGACGTGAGGGCGGAAGTCCCTCCCCATCCTGGGACGTGCCGGCCAGCCCCAGAGCCAGGGACGCCCCTATCCTGCCCGCGCCCCGGGATGTTGGGGGAAGGGTGAGGAGTCCAGAAGAGGGAGAAATTTGGGACGTCTTGGGCATGTGGTGGGAACCGGCCCTCAGCCCCACGCGAGGTCGAGGGAGGGATCCATTCTTCTTCCACAGTCTGGGGCCCCAGCTGCGCCGGGTTTGCCAGGTTTGGATGGAAGAAAGGCTGCGTTCAGAACGCGTGAGGGTTTAGAGGGGGTTGGGGTGGAAGGGACAAGGCCCATCAGCAGGTGCTGGGGGCTGGGGATCCTGGGGCCTCTTTGCTGGCCCAGCGTAACCTGAGACCAGCCCCCTTTTCTAGCTGAAGAGCCTGTGGCTAAATTTAGCCAGGCCTGGTGATAACCTTTGCTTAAAAGGCAGAGAGCACGCTCTCCTGCACCCCGACTCCAACCGCCCCCCCCCCAAGTCCCTACCCTTCCTGGATTGCCCTCCCTCCTTGGGGCCCCAGAGCCAAGTCTGTGTCTTTCTGGCAGCCATATGCATGGTTGGTTCCCAGGCTTTTCACGAACCCTAAGAGCAGGGCCAGAGAGCACCTAATGGTGGGAAGCACCACAGGTGGTCTGGTGGGGCCTAGGGTAGAGACTCAGCTGCTAACTCTTTCATTCTCAGCTGCTAACCCTTCCATTCTGCCCAGGTTCAGCCAGCACCATTAACCCTTTCCCTGGACTCGATGCTCCCACACTACCTAGAATGTGTCTGAGGTCCCATCTTCCCTTTTGCTGCACACACGTACTTTTTCATTAGTGTCTTCTGCCAAAAAGGGAGCTCGGTGCCCATGGAGCATTACTGATGCAGCCTGCTGTTGTCATGGCAGCAAAGACACCAGTGTCGTCATGAGAGCACGCTCACTGCCTAATGGTCCAGGTGACTCAGCAGAGCAGACCTGGGGAGCTGAGGGGGTGGGCAAGCTAAAGCAGTGTCCGCGTGCGGCTGACTTCCCACAGACCCTAGAACAGTAAAGTGATGCCTTGGTAGGCAGTCTGCACAGATGGAGGAGGGGAGCTGACCTTCCATCAACCCTGCGACCAGGTCAGTCCCCTGTCCCAGAGACAGGCTCAGGGAGCACAAATGGGGAGAGGAGCATGCAGACCAGCCCGGGGTATAGAGAAGGGTTTCTCCACAATGGAACCACTGACTGATGCTTTGGGCTGAATCATTCTGTTGTGGGGTCTGTCTTCTGCACTGTACAGTATTTAGCAAAAGCCTTGGTCTCTCCCCACTAGATGTTGATAGGGAGCATCCCTCCCATCTAGGTTGTGATGACAAAAAAATCTCTGGGCATTGCCAAATGTCCCCTGGAGGGCAAAACCGTCCCCAAGTGGAGCCCGTCTACCTGGAGACTAAACTCTGCGTGCTTCGCCACTGTGCAGCAATCCTGTCACTTGTGCAGTGTGGGGAGGTCAAGAAGGGGAAGATGAGGCACCAGGGTAGCATGGAGTTTATCAGATCTTGAGATAGGCCCCAGGACTTTCGGGCTCCTCTTTCTGAATTGATAATCCTCTCCTTGCCTCCTGCATCTGGACTAACATGAAAGATGAAACAGACAAGCCTAGGAAAATCTAAAAGTATATAAAAATATTTATTCACTAGGAAACGAGGAGACTGGGAGACATATAATCCGGTGAAAGCTCAATTCAGTTCAATTAGGCTAGTTTAAGAAAAATGCTTTACATTATAAAGACCATTAAATGTTAAAAAAAGACAAGAAGACAGGCAAACAATTACAAGAGCAATGGACTTTTAGGTCACCCAGCAAGACACCCTTCCCAGCAGGGATGGGAACAGGCAAGATGACCTCTTAGGTCCTGTGCCTTCGAGGAGGTGCTCGGCGGATGGGTGTGGTCTTCTTGGGTGTCTCATCTTCTGTCATCTCTGCTGAAAGCTCTACTCAGAGGATTGGAGGAATAAGAAAAAGCTGAGTCACAAAGATGGTGAAATGTAGATCTCAGGGAACGCAGAAGAAACAAAACCCAAACGGCACGATGGGAAGACACCTTGGGGTGAGGTGGTGGAGACAATCTATACAGCAGGACCCCATCAGAACCAGCCTCACCCCCCAAGTTACGCTCCCTCTGGGCCAAGGCCAGGAGGGAGCATCGTACCTTCCTCGCTGGACTCATCACTCGAGAAGACGATTCTGGGTTTCTTTTTTGAAACTCGCTGTCGGGTGTCTGGACGCCGTTGGATGGTACGGCGGGGCTCGGGGGTGACAAAGTCACTGTCTGATGAGGCTGCAGAAGCCAGATGCTGGTGCCGCTTAGAGACTAGAAAAGGCAGAGACATGAGTCCGCAAAAAGGAAGCTCTCAGAGGAGAGCCAGATCACTCCACCTGTGGGGCAGCCTCACATACCAGTGGATGGTTTCTTGGCTGATGGGGCCCTCTGGCTACCCCCTTGGCCAAGCTCAAGGTCTTCCACTGCATCCAAACCTCTGGTGTGGCAGACCCGAAGCTTCTGTTCAAATTCATCTATTATAGCCTGGAAGGGAAGAAGACATAAAGAGCAGGCCTGGAAACACAGTTATTTCTATGATGAAAAACAAGTCATGAAAAGACACGGTAAAAACTGAAATGCAGATCACGGAGAGAACCTAAGCTGAGGGAGGGGTTCACAGTGCATGACTGCAAGTATAGGATGTTCTGGAAAAGGCACAACTGTGGAAAAATAAAACAAATCAGTGGTTGCCGGGGGTTGGGGGGACAGAGTGAGTGGGAGAGCCCTGAGGATTTCTTAGCGAAACTGCACTGTAGGATACTAGAATGATGGACACAGGGCATTACACTCTTGTCCAAACCCACAGAATGCACACTGAGAGTGACCCTTAAGATAAACTATGGACTTTGGGTGATAATGATGTGTCAACAGAGATTCATCGATTGTAGCAGGTGTGCCACTTTGGTGGGGGATGTTGATCTTGGAGGCGGTGGTGCGTGTGGGTGGGGGCAGGGGGCATATGGAGGAATTCTAAACCTCCCACTCAATTTTGCTTTTGAACCTAAAACTGCTGTAAAAAATGAAGTCCATTTCAAGAGAGAGAGAGAGAGAAAGAAACAGGAGTCAGATACAGAAAGAGCTGGGCTCAGGTGGTGCTGGGGACTTGGCTGCAGGGCAGCCTGGGGCGGGTGAGGCAGGCTGGGCAATGTGCAGAGGGCAGCCAGGCTCACCTTGCCCTCGGGCTTGGCCCCACGCCGCAGCTTTCCCACAACCGACAAGAAAGCACTGAAGATGGACTCATCCGACAGTTTATCCCCAAAGCAGTCAAAGTTGTCCAGCATCTTGCGGAGGCCTCGCTCTGTGAGGGGCAGCTGTGACACACAGTAGGCCAGGTCCCGGTACTGCCGCTCGGTCCTGCAGATGGCAGGGTGGGTCGCGGGATGGAGAGGTAAAGGCCCATCCTTCCTCAGTAGGCTCCCATGGCCTCGGGGTCACCCCAGGGGACAGCAGCCTACCGGGCCGTGCGGAAGCGCTGACACAGCTTCTCCACCAGGCTCTCAGTCTGCTTGTCCTTGGTGATGTAGGAGAGCAGCTGCCTGAGGAACGGGAGATATGGACGTGTGACCTCCCAGGGACAGCCATCCCTCCCCGTGCACCAGCCCTCTGTTGCCCTCCTGGCCGGGGAGAGAATCCCTTCGGCCGTGGCCCATGCCTGCCTCACAGTTCCTCCTGCCCTCTTCCTGCGCCCTCAGAGAAAGGTCCACCCACCCCTGGAGAAATGTTCACCAAGAATGGGAATTCGTAACAAAAGCGGCTGTCGTGTGGTGAAGACGCCTATGTGCCTACCACGTTAGAAACTCCATCAAGAACTAAGGGGCCAGCATCCCAGGCCTCATTTGCTAGAGAAGGAGCAGATGCAAAGAGGTTAAGTTATTGCTGAAGGCCATGCAGCTAAAAAGTAGCAGAGCCAAAATGCAAACATGGGTCTGATTCCTAAGGATGAGCTACAGGAAAAATGTGCTCCCGGGCCCAGGCAACCGTACTTCATGATGGTGTGGAAAGGCTCTTCCTCCACCCCTCCCTCAGGGTCTGACAG